AAGGGCTAGTCAACATTACTGAATGAGTAAATTTCACAAAATTGTTGGTATTTTGCACAATCTATCATAAAACTATAATGTTTAGCCTTGCTCATTAGATGTAGTCACCTGACCTATGGTACCCATCTGCAGTCTCAGGAAGTGATATGTAATTAGGTATTAGATTTTTGCATTTCGTAGCTTCCGTAATCAAGTGTAGCTATATGCACCTACATGCTTTTGTGTTACCTCTTCTTTGAGTAAATATGTAGTTTCCTGATATTGTAGGTAGGTCCCACATGTCAGGTGACGGTGAATCTAATGTGCAAGGCAAAAACCTGTAGTTCGTTATAATGGAGAAACTAAATATGTTGTTTTGTAAGACAAGTTATTAAACCTATAGTTTTACGATAGATTGTGTAAAGATTTATGAAATTTCTCAATGTATAAAGTTTTTAAAGACACTTATATATACATAATTATTTTTTTAAAAAAATCATACCGTTTAGTGGCTTAGAAAGTGTGTTCGCCATAATCTAGCATCTAGTAACTGAAAACAACATTGTCTACATGGTGTGTTGCTTCATAGCATGTACATAAGAAGCCATGTACTATTGTAAACTATATTGCAATAGATTGCATCAAAGTTAAGGCCCGTTCTCTTTAGATAATAGAGATGCAAAATATGTGTCACCTTTTAAAAATACGATTTCTCCATGATGTTTGTACATCAGAATTTATTACACAACTTTTTCTAAGTTATTTAATAACTTTATAGTCTATAATATTTATTAATCTATGTATTTATTTATCGGCTAATAGCTGAACGGAACATGCCCATATAGCTGCTTACTTCAAGTGTACAGTTGTACTTGCCTCCAAACTATCTCATTTCTTATTTCTTATGTCACATATTATCTTACGATATGCAAATTAGACCTACTTATCAGTGAGGCAATAAAGAACTTCACAAAATATTCATATGGCTATAAAGGAATATTATTCGTCCTTCAGATCCATTCGAGATACCTTGACTCCAACAAACACTATTTCTTTATGGAAACACCAACAAATAAACATTGGACTTGGTTGTACACCTTGGCATCACTATCAACCGGCCAGCTTGTCTATCTAACTTTCCTCGGTACATATACAAATGTTTTTTCTTAATATTTTTTAAGTGTGTGAAAGTGATATAAGTAGTTGATTTTTGTGTTTTTTTTCTCTAAAGATGGAATTAGGAGGGAAATATGAAAAAAGGACGACGATGGTCGTACTAACTGGATTGGGATCAGATGTAGTCCCAAATATAACTGCATGTTAGCGACTGCACTCAAGTCCATCTAATTTTTCAATCGAAGGTCCAAATTGAATGTAACAGTAGCCTAGCTATAATAGTTATATGATGAATGCCCTGAATGAACAATGTTATATAAAATTTGGGCCTTCGGATTACATCCTATACATGAGACCTTATTTGGAAAGCTTAACATGCTAAGAATCTGATAGTTGGTAGTTAGTTTATGATAATCTAAAAGAAGAAAGTGGATTCTTCTTACTTCTTTTTTTTTTCTATATTCTATAACTACGGATTCTCAGAATTTGGATGACAAATATAAATTGTTTAGGGGAACCGAAGATTTTGTGGTAGGCTACAACTACTAGAAGCTCTCCAAGCAGACCATAGTATAATTGCGTAGGTTAAAATCACACTAAAAACAACATTGGAACCCAGTCCGAAGAGAGAGAAAGCAATAAAATCCCAAATGCATGATCCCAGAAATTCAGCTCATACAAGTCATGGAGCACGCATGTCCAAATTACACACGTGGCGTGAAAATTTGTCCAACTCAACTAGTCAAGCATGCTTTCAGCATTTTTTTTCAGCTGGTATATAATTTGAGGGCGTCACATCACACTCAGGTTGCTGCACTTCGTTCCAGCAGCACACGTTAGAACACTACTTCCTCTAGGGGTGAAAACGGTACGGAAACTTTCCGGATTCCGTACCTATTTTCAAAAACGGAATCTGTCGGTCGGAATTTTTTCGGAATTTTTCGGAAACGGAAACGAATTCAGAAATATTTTCTCGGAAACGGAATCGGAAATGATAAGCGCAGTTTCCGTCGGAACTCGGAATCGGTCGAAAACTTTTCGGAAATTTTCTCGGAATTTCCGGAAATTGTCTCGGAATTATCAGAAATTTTGTGATTGAAATACCCTAGATTCTTTTTTTAAGCACTAAATAGTGAATACCATGGTGTTTGGCAGTTATTTTTTAAAAAAATATTTGTTATACAAATCTAAAATTACATAAGAATATTTTTTTGTCCTACATTGGGATTTATTAACAACATTACTCTTTTAAACATAGATAATTTATTCAATTGGATTTATCAGTTTGAGGGGTTTTTTATTCCGATAAATTTTCGTTACCGTATTCGCGCCGGTTCGTTTTCGCTCCGTTTTCGGTTTCGATAATATTCGATTCCGTTTTCGTTTCCGGTGTTTCCGATTCCGATTCCGATTCCGATTCCGAAAAAAATATGAAAACGAAAACGATAAAGATGGATTCCGTCCGTTTCCGTACCGTTTTCACCCCTAACTCCCTCCATCCTAAAATAAGTGCAGTTTTGCACTATTTACGTTCAACGTTTGACCGTTCGTCTTATTTAAATTTTTTTATTATTAGTATTTTAATTGCTATTAGATGATAAAACATAAATAGTACTTTATGTGTGACTAAATATTTTCAAATTTTTCGCAAATTTTTCAAATAAGACTGACGGTTAAACGTTGGACACGGATATCCACGGTTGTACTTATTTTGGGACGGAGGCTTAACAACACACTTATATGATTGTGGCAACCTTTGAAAATCTGTTAGTTAGTGCGAGGGCATTGAATTGATTAACTGATCACTTACAATGCTCATTCCCTCTAGAACTTTGAAAATTGATCAATTAGCTAGGGCCCCTTGGAATGAATAATTGACACAAAAATTTTAAAAGAACACGGCCCTGTTTGAGATTGTTTTTCCACCAAATTGTTGACGCAGTCACACAGATTGTCTTGATTAGCATGATAAATTAATATTTTTGAGATATAATTAAACTTCGCAAATACTACGTTAGAATATATGGTCCGATGAATATGGTAGAAGAATTTTTTTAGACATTGTATTAGTAGAAGTGTAGAACAATAATCTGTGGCAAAAATTTGGGGGAAACTATGAAAATAATAGGGCCATAATTGTAAGATAATTTGTTTCTAATGGACCCCTTTATTCACTAAAAAGGGAAAAAATTGTGTAGGATTACATGTCTATGGCTCTGTTTCACAGAAAAATAAATAAGAGGCCAGATCTCTTTAAGAACTTATGTTTGCTTTGTTTTTTTTTCACGGTGATATCAAATGTTTCTCTTTTTTATTCAATGTTTCTGATTGCTAGGAGTACAAGATTAGGGGGCTATTTTAATAACTATGTTTGGTTCTGTCGAAGGGTATACCTAACAATGGTATTTGTAAAAATATGTGGATCTTTGGTACTAAGATATATAAGAATGTGGTAAAAAAGATGGGAGATATAGACTTTTATATAGATTTGTGCCCTACTCTTGTTAGCGGAAGCTAGTGTTACTATTATATATCAATATCTCATGATTACAATATTAAGGGCGACATAATCTAATCTCTATCAGCTTAGCGGCGTAAAGCTCTCACATTTGCTGGACGGCTAGCTTAGTCCACTTCCTCGAATAGGAACTCAATGATATTGGATGTAGCTCTAGATCTCTCTGGTCGGCTTGTGGCTTTCTATTGGGTTTGTCTAGACTTGCCTTGGTGTATGTTGGTGTATCTTTGCTTGTGTTTGTTTGTATTGACACGTTTCCTCTCCTCCGAGAGTCTTGTATTTATACTCTCAGGGTGCCCACCTGTCCAAGTAAAAATAATGAAGTAAGGCTATGTTCTTTAACACCTCTTCCCAACTTCTACTCTTTCGTTTTTTGTGTGCACGCTTCCCCAACCACTAAATGGTGCATTTTTTAAAAAATCTATATGAAAGTTGATTTAAAAATCATATTAATACATTTTTCAAGTTTATTTTAGCTAATGCTCTATTAATCATACGCTAATGAATCACTCTATTTTACATGCGGGGAGGTGAAGTTCCCAACCTTCACCTTCGAACATAACCTAAGTATAGATACGATTCAAATAGAACTTGTAATATTTGAGTAGGACTCTATTTCTATTTTTTTAATATGAAGGACCTTCCAATCTTCCATGTATGATAGTATGAGGCTTTATTCCGTATATGACTTGATATATGGTGAATACCGCCGAGTCTAATACACAAGTATGAGGTCTCACGTATCCAGGACACAGATAGTTTCTATTCTAATTTCTTCTTATATAAATAAAAAAATAGCCTTAATGGAATGCAATTTTTAATTGTGGATAATGGATTACCACGCACACATTTTCAACATCCTAAATGGCAAAGAAAAACTTACTTTATTATTTGTAAAATAACTTTTTACAACATTTTTCAACAATCTAATTATCATTTCATTCCTTTATAACCTCAAGTAATTGTCACAAACTTATCCATGAGCACATTCATACAGCCACTATATATTCCCTGTGATACTGTGTTTTTCTCTCAACTTTCCCAACCTCTCATCTCTCATTTTTCGTGTACATGCTTCCTAAACTACTAAAAGATATATTTTTCACAAAATAAATTCTATAAAAAATTACTTTAAAAATTATATTAATTCATTTTTAAAGGTTTTATAGCTAATACTTAATTAATTATGCATTAATCATTTGGTTTTGCGTCAGAAGGATACGTGTTGCCCTCTAGACCAAACAACTGTACCGGAAGCATTTCCACACGCCCCCATTACTCGTCGGAACTTTTGACCGGCGCTGAAGAAAACATATCCCGCAATCAATGATCATAATCAGCCCCTAACCCCTTCCCTTCCTCCCTTCTCCCTTTCCCCTCCCCTGAACGGCTTGTACGGAGGACCGGACAGCTGGGCAGCCAGACGCGCAGGGACGCGGTCGACGACTCGTCATCACAACACACTCCGCCCGCGTCCGCGAGGACGCGCAGGGCCGCACGGGGGCGCGCGCATCCAAGCCGTGTACTCCTGGTGTGTACGTGCCGGAGCGAGTACGCGACCGCCCAATGGAATTCGCGGCCGCTTTGAAGAAGCTTGATGCTTCGCGCTGGCCCGCCCCGTCCCCGTGGTTGGTTGGTTTGGTTTGGTTACTTGCTACTACTCCTACTACGACTACTATTCCCTCCCTGGTTTGCTCGGACGAACGAGTCGTGGACTCGCGGGTTGGGTCTGCGCGTCTGACCGCGTGGCGTTGCTCACACAGGCGAGCGAAAGCGAGAGACACAGGCGGGTGGGGGGGCGACAGAGAGGGAGAGGGAGAGGGAGAGGGAGAGAGAGACGCCGCCGGTTTCTTCCGCCTGCTCCCGCTCGTTCTTCCTCGGGGTGGGTGGGTGAGCCGGTCCACGAGGCGGCGTCGGCGACGGCGGGGCAACACTGCCGCAGCACAGGGGTCAGGAGACGGGGCCGGCGTTGGCGGAGGAGAAGATTGGGCACAACGAGACTATAGAGCAAGCGACGCCTCCTTTTCTTTTTTTCTCCGATCCATCAGGTGAACTAGGCCATGCGTCTGAACTTGTCTCCCTTCCCCCCTCTTCCTCCGGCTGCTTCATCGGCTCCTTACCTTGTTGGTGACCTAGAACCGCGTGTAGATTGGCAAGATTATTTTTTGTTTTTTGTAATTTTTTTTGCATGTGTTTTCTCGTGATTTTAGGGGAAGCTTCTCCCATCTCGTTGACTATTGAGAACGGATATTCGAATGGAGTGAGGGTTTTGTATGGCTAATCGTGAGCTGAGCTGGGTGATCTGGTCTTCGTGACAGTTCTGAGCACGAACTGGGGAACTGGCTTCGCATTGAGGTTCCAAGAAGGTCACCGGATTTGGCGCATGGGGGTCTCCGCCAGCTGCTTGTGGGGTGGCTCCGAGTCGAGGGGGAACCAAAATGGTTCTGCTGCGGTGACGTCTCCTCGTTCAGGTATAGTATTTCACTCACTTGGTTCCAGAGATCATGAGCTAGCTAATACTGTCAGAATTTTAATGCTGCTTGCATTTCAAGGTCTGCATTTGCATTTAGGAAAAACCAGTGTTGTTTTACATGAAAATGGCGATTAAATTACTACCTATCCTCTTCTGCCATGTACACATGTTGCTCCAGGATATATATGGTTATGGATGTGTCGAACAATCATTCTTTGGAGAGTCTACTGAGAGGATTTTCTTTTTCTTTATGTTATTGAAGCATTCAAAGGGATGAAATGATGAGAAATTCATGTTTTTTTTAATAATAGGAGGAACGTCTGAATATTTTCTGTCTTTTCATACATAGGAAAGTGTTGTTGGCAAGTTTCTCTTTTTAAGACAAAAGCAAGGCTCAACACACCAAAACTCACACAATATATGCTTCATGAGTATAATCATCACTCAAGATAACACATCCGAAAAAAAGTTCTTGATGTTCTTATGTCTTCCTTTAAGCAGTGCCATCTGCAAGGAAGTTTTGAGCGAGCTACTTCCTGCATTAGGGCTTAGGGGTCCTGTTGGAAACTATACTGTGTAAAAAAAAATAGGAAACACCATGTAAAACGGTATGCATTATAATTAATCATGCATATATGAGGATATTGGTCTTAACCTTAGAGCAGTCAACCTTAATGGCCACTATCATGTTTTAGTGAACTAATACATGTACTTCTTTTTATTACTTCTCTTTCCTATTTTTCTAAACAAACATTGATGATATCACCTCTGGAAGAAATGCAGGTCAAGTAATATCAAGAGCTGGAAGTAATGTACGAGTCTTCTCCCTAAAGGAGTTGAAGCTTGCCACTCGAAACTTTCACATGATGAACTGCGTTGGCCGTGGGGGTTTTGGAGCAGTGTACAAGGTGAGAAATGGACTCACTTTGTGCATCATATTTTCCTGGCTTCTTACTTTATGGCCTTTTATTTTATCATCACTTGCTAGTTTTACTGTAAGAATTCTCTCTTGATATTTTGTAATAATACGTTTTATAAGTCTGCAAGTATATAATGAATAACAACTAACAAGAGTCTCCTTCACTTAGGGAAACCTGAAAGATGGCACTCAAATTGCAATTAAAAAGCTGTCAGCTGAATCAAAGCAAGGGGCAAATGAGTTCTTGACAGAGATAAATGTCATATCCAATGTCAGGCACCCCAACCTTGTAAAGCTAATTGGTTGCTGTGTTGAAGGGACTAACAGACTACTAGTGTATGAATATGCAGAGAACAATAGCTTGGCACATGCTTTACTTGGTAAGTTCATTAAATCAATACTGACATATTGATCAAGTAAAGTCCAGCCATTGTGTTAAATTTACCTTTGTGATCAGGACCAAGGAGTAGGTGTATTCCGTTAAACTGGCAAAAAAGAGCAGCTATTTGTATCGGAACTGCTTCTGGCCTTGCATTTCTTCATGAGGAAGCACAGCCACGCATTGTTCATCGTGATATCAAGGCCAGCAACATTTTACTTGATAAGAAACTACTTCCTAAAATTGGAGATTTTGGACTGGCCAAGCTTTTTCCTGACACCATTACTCACATTAGCACACGTGTTGCAGGAACAATGTAAGTACATGTAAATCTTTTGATTATTTACCTGCTCTTGTAATGGATCTATGCACATTACGTGTAGATTTTTTCCAGAATAATCAGCTCAGTGTATGAATTTTTCCAGGCAGTTTTGTCAGCTTACTATTGTTGCCTCTATTTCTAGTGACCCAAGTTGACCTGTCATTGTCAAATCACTTAAATTGCATCTTGCTTAGTCTGTGATAGGATCATTTTACTTATCGTTTGGGATGTTATTTCTCCTGCAGGGGTTACTTAGCACCAGAGTATGCCTTGTTGGGACAGTTAACCAAGAAAGCAGATATATATAGTTTTGGGGTCCTTGTCCTTGAAGTGATAAGTGGTGAAAGCAGTAGCAAATCGACTTGGGGGCAAGATATGAATGTCCTTGTGGAATGGGTAACACACTTTTCTCTCCTCACCAGAGCACTAGTTTGCAGCAATTTTAATGCCCACATCAACTCTTGATAGCAGTAGTATTATTCATTGATTCATGACAGTGTACCAGCTTTTCCTTATGACATACATCTACATGGTCTTGTTCATCTGGAAAAAAAATAATTAAAGCTTTGATGTGGTTTAAAATTTAAATGGCAGACATGGAAGCTTCGAGAACAAGGAAGGCTTTTGGAAATTGTTGATCCAGAACTGGAAGAATACCCAGAGGAGGAAATGCTTCGTTTCATCAAGGTGGCACTCGTGTGCACCCAGGCCACGTCCCAGCAGAGGCCATCCATGAAACAGGTGGTGGATATGCTATCTAACCCAACAGAAATCAGTCTGGAGAACTTAGTCGCACCAGGTGTGCTGAAAGAACCCCGCCATCATTCAAGTAGTTCGGGTTTGACACCGGACACAACCTCAAACAGAAGCACCAAAGCCAATCCAGCTGATTCCTACAGCACACAGACCAGAGACATGAATAGCTATCAGTTGAGCACGATTGAGGTGTCGCCTAGGTGATACGGCACACTGCGCGCTTTCTTGCCAGATTCAGAGGGGCTCCCACATTGTCAGATTTTGCTGCGCTGACAGAGTTTTACTTGGAAATGAGAAAGTGAATAGGATATGCTTAAAGCCCTGATCCATATGCATCCGGATTGAGGAAATACACAGGATAGGATGGGCATTGCTGTGGGTTGCTGTTGTACACTTGTACAGAACTTGTAGTTATACTTTTAGGGATGCATTGCAAGAGTAGTGATGTCTTCAGACACCCAAAAGAACTTCACCATTCGAAGACGTGGTGAAGAACAGGGTGAAGAGTTGTCACGTGATGATCATAGTTTTAAGGCTTATTTGGATAGGCATGGATTAGGTTTAATCCTTCCATTTTGATGCAGAATTGGTTCATTATCTCTGCTTATCTAAAGGACTTAAACCTAAACCCCACCTATCGAGACAGGCCTTTGATGACATTACCTTCTTTTTACCGCTTATTGGCCCAATTTTTCTTACATCGTAGCTAGTGCAAAAACATGTGATTTGAGACAAATAGTTGGTTTCTGGAAATCCTTTGTACACTGATTTTTTGTTCTTTTGGGATATTCTCATATATGAAGTGACCGTCTGGACTCTGGACTGTATCCATTTGTGATAATATTATAGTGTTGTTGTATTGAATTTTCAACAGCAATTATTGGATTCCTGATTTCGTGCAATCAAACTCAGCGGGGAATGTGCGTGTCATTAAATATCAAGACTATTGAGCTTACACAATCTTGGTCATAAGGTGTGAATTACCATCACACCCCTTGCTTCTTGGGATCTAAAATGTTGATAATTCTGCCATGAGGATGTTTTGTGAGTGTAGCATAAGCGATGCCCATTCGCTTTTGGGTTTCTTTTGTTTTCTCCAACTTGCTTTCTGCTGTATATATACTCTGTAGCTGCAGGGGATTATCATATAATGTTGGTCACTGCTATTGTTTCTCTGCTGTCTTTCTTTTTTCTGTAAGGGTTTTCATGCTAAATGTATAATCTTTGGTTTTGTGCCGGGTTTAAACCTATCTTTATCTAAAGACGTCTAAAATATTCAAAATAGTCTCTCTTTTTTTTTTGAAGTCATTCAAAATAGTCTTTGTTTTGATGTGTATCTTAATCAGCACATTTAGTGAATGGTTATCAAATGATTCAAAGTATAGATCGCACATAACTCCACATGAATCGACTGCGACTGTGTTTCTGTACAGTGCATATTATAGTTATTATAGTTATATAATATAATGAATCTGCAAATTAACTGAAGATGATAGGGAGAAGAACTTGCACAACCGTGCACCAAAGAGGATGACAATACCCCTGTTAAGCCCTTGCTTGATTTAGCCAGAGAGCGCACTATACATGCCTCCACCAAACAAAACAATCTAAAAGCATATACCTTTCTAATGAACACAGCTAATAATAGCTCACGACCATAACCTCCAGTTTATTCGATTCACATGACAACATAGGCTTATTGCTTCTCTCAACTCACTGATGATACCTTTCCTGCTAAACATGCAGCGAGAAGAACCATGAACAAGAACTAACAAAATCAACTCTCTTGAGAGAGACTCTATTCCTTGTCTACGAAAGCTGATTCAGCAAGATCGATGGCTCGAGCCAGAGCGGCTGCCTTGTTCTCGCATTCACGTTGCTCGTCGTCTGGGCTGCTATCAGCGACAATGCCAGCACCAGCCTGAAGGTGAGCGACCCACTCCCGGCGCCTCTCGGTGTCTTTGTATGAGTACATCGTGTTGTGGCTTGGCGCTGTTGAGAACACAATGGTGCGGAGTGCAAGAGCGATAAGCATGTCTCCGTCAAATGATATCCCTCCAAGGCCGCCACTGTATGGTCCTCGTCTTGTGACCTCTAGCTCGTCTATCAGCTCCATGGCTTTCACCTGGTTATGTCAGACGGAATTTTGTTAAACAACGGTTTGTTCCAGAAAGGAATATGAAGTCCTGATGGGTAAATGAGATGTATTTGTTACTGTACGCAAAAAGGATATGAGCAATGTGATCGAAGTCAACAGAGCAAAAAAAGAAAAAAAAAGGAAAAAGTTCTAGCATAATTCTATGCAGTAGAAGACTTCAAATAGACTACCAAGAGGCTACACTGTCCCAACCATATGGCTTGTATTGCAAAAATGCAAATATGTCAAACAATCTCTACTGACATGAGTGTGGAACCAAAATGATCTACACAAAGAATAAATTTGGCAAACATGCTTAAAAAAAAGACGGAATGGAGGTTGGACAGCACATCACTAGATCCAAATAAGGAGATTGTAGGCAACATACCTTTGGTGCTCCACTAACTGTTCCAACAGGCAACGCGGCTCGCAGGGCATCCCAACTTTGGAGATGATCATCCAACTCTCCACTCACCTGTAAATCATTCAAACAATACATTGTTTTTCAGTGTAAGTACAGAAGACAAGAATCTCAAAGGCGCTCAGCCAGCACACTTACGTAAAAGAGCACTACATAGTACTAAGACACAATTCATACTTTTCATAGAAACCGAGAGAGAGAGAGAGAGAGATTATATCCAGAAACCAACTCATTATTGTAACCATTGCTCATTACACAATGTATCGTACCAACCCTAGAAAAGATAGCAGTGAAGATCAGTCACTTGTGGTGCTACTAAAAGCTTTGCACTTTCATGTCTATTAGACAAGACACATTTGAAACATAGAAGCGTCAAAATTGCAGAAATTGTTGGCTGTTTATAAAACAAGCCAATAAATTACTTAGAAACCACATATCCATTTTGTCGCAATAGGTAATACATCTGATAGTGTTATGCATACTGAGTTAAGATCCTAGATTTTCTTAGCATAAAAAGACATTTGTCTGAACTAACAATGCAGACTGGAATGCTGAAGGAAATAATAATGACGCAACATTGCCAAGGTATATAATGAGTACAGAACCATTGTTTCACAGTATAGAAGAAGAGCCTAACCGTGGAACTGATGTGCATGACATGGGAGTAGCGTTCAATGTTCATTAATTTCTCCACCTTCACAGATCCAGGTTTGGAGACCTGCCAAGTAGAAAGTAATCATAAGAAAAGTTGTTAACACATTCCTAACAAATCTGTCAAATTAATGCAACCATGACTCAGCCATCGAAAAAAAAGAACACAAACCTTTCCAACATCATTCCTTCCCAAATCTACAAGCATAATATGTTCAGCACACTGTTTTTCATCACTTAGTAGCTGTTGCTCTTGCATTTCATCTTCCTTCTCTGTCTTGCCCCTTCGAACAGTCCCAGCAAGTGGACGGTTAATAATTTTACCCTGAAAAAGATTTAAAAGGATGAATGTTAATGAAAAGAAAAAATGTATTCCAACTATCATCAGTAGGAGAGTTTACATACCTTCCTCACACGAGTAAGAATTTCTGGACTAGATGCTACCAGGACACAGCCTCTTGCCTAAGAGATCATAATAGTATATTATTATACATAAGAGCGTTTAGTATTATCTTATACAAATGTTAGAAACAGATACCAGTCAAAATAAGCGCATAGTGTAAATATACCTGTACATATGCCATGTATGGACTTGGGTTCACAATTCGTAAAGCTCGATAGACTTCAAATGGATTGGCGTATGTTCGCCTCTCAAACCTCTGGCTTAAAACAATCTGGAAAATATCACCAGCCATAATATGCTCCTTAGCCTGCATAACAGCATTCTTGTACTCATCACTTGTCATGGTTGATTTGTTCAAAGGTGTACCAAACTGCCGAGTGTGTAACTTTACAAATCCTGGAGAAAGCTTGGGTCTGGAGTGAAAATGAAATAAGATATAGAAGCTGTGAGCACCAAAGCAGAATTAGCAAAACACAGGATTGAAGGAATGGGCACAGGTTAGCTTACACATTTGAATTGTGCACTTTAGATAGCAACAGGTTCAGCCGGGACTTGCCATCTTGGAATGCATCCTCGGTGGTTGCATGCCGATCAAGATTTACCCAATGGATGACATATACTTTCTGCAGCAAACACATGAACCAAAGAATTTGAAATGGATATAGGTTTTCCACAAGTTGTAACTCACGGTCTCACATTTGCAGCAAGTTCAAATTCTGGAACTACCAATCTACAAGTTATTTTATGTCACAAACAGGATGAGCTCCGTGGTTTCTGCTGTTGTTGGCAACCAAAGAGAAGAAGCACAGGTTTGCAATTTGGCTTCAAATTTAGTGTAGGAAATAGTGTGTTATATATTACTAGCTAAATTGTGCATTGCAACAGATTTCAAAAAATATATCTAAAGTTCTTGACTAAAAATTATATTTTTGTTGGAAAAATGCATATATAATTTGCAAGCAAACATCGAACCACAAAAACCAAACCACATTCACAGAGATATATATTTATCCAGCCTTAGAAGATCCCACCAAATCTAAGGGATGGAAGATTCACCACCACTACTAGGTTCTTTTATAAAGAGATTTTTTTTCTTTTGTTACTGAAAGAGATGCTCCTACTGATAGTCTGATGGTGATGAAGAAAATCCAAAGTATAGGTTGATTCTATGATAATCCTCCTCCCAGGCAATCAAATAAAATAGCCCATAATGAGATAAAGGAAATGACACTGAAGAATAAGCACCTTCTCGACATTGTCGAAGACGAGAACATCATCATAAAGCCCAAGGTGAACATCAGGAAGGTTCCTATCGTCCTGGGGAGCACCGGAGAAGGGCAGCTTCTTCTTTTCAACATAACGGACTGTATCATAGGAAAAGAACCCGACCCATCCACCTATCACAAACAAAGAAACCAAATGCCATGGTTCACATTTCATAACCAACAAAATCAAATATTCCCCATTTCTTCTTCCTACTGTTTGATTTCGTTAGCTCACCGGTGAAGGAATCGGGGAGCTGATCGATCTGCTGCGGGTGCCATCCTTCCATCATGCTCCTGGGGATCTGCATAGGATCATCCACGACCTGCTCCGTCACCTTGCCCTTCTCGTGGTCCATGATTGTGACCTTGTGCTCCTTTGCCACGACCTCCATCACTGGGTGGGCTCCCACCATGCTATAGCGACCCTTCGAAGTTCGAACCAATCAAGGCACGCAGTGTTATTTGCCAAAGGATAAGAATCGATAAGGGAGCAGATTGGAAGGTGGAAGAACATGGAGGGGAGGGGAGGGGAGAAGGCCGTACGACGTTGGTGGTGCCCTCGGGCCCCTGCTCGACGGACTCGAAGAGGAAGCTGGGCGTCTCCATGTTGTCCTCGGGGACGAGGCAGCGGTAGGCGAGCACGGGGGTGAGGTGGTCGGAGACGATGCACTCCCACATGGGCACCAGGTTGCCCTTCCCGCTCCCACGCTCCGCCGCCTCGAAGAAGCGCCTCCTGTCCTCCTCCGCCGCCCGCGCCGCCGCGCTCCCGTTGATCACCGCGCTTGCCTCTGGCTTCCCCGCGGAGCACCTCACGCCGCCGCGCCTACTCGTCCTCCTCCTCCCTCCTGCCGCTACCGCCGCCCTCGCTCTAACCGGGGCCGCCGCCGCCGCCGGAGTGGCGGGGCGGGCGGCGAGGCGCGAGGGCGTGAACGTGGCGGCGGCGATGGACTCCATTGCGATAGGCTTTTTTTCCACAGCTCGTCAACTCCACTTCCCCCCACTACGATTTGGAGCACACGCGAATG